TATGATAGTTATTCGCACAACTGTAGAGAGAGCAGTGAACATCACGGACCTTGATAGCAACATTTTCCGGCAATGACTATCAACAAGTATTATATCCCACCTGATCACCTCAGTAATGCCAATAAAACCATATTATGCATATAGAGCCCTAATACAACTACAACAGGGTTTGATTTCCTTCATTTCTGGCGAACTCAGCCGCCAGAACGGGATGCGTCCAATCCTCTGCAAAGAGTCGTTGTCATCATATATACGATATGGTCACTATTGGAGGATACTAGATGGTACAGTATCAGGACCGGAGGTGGGCGGTGGCAACTGGAATCCCGTGCTTTTTGCAAGGGTTTATTTTTTCCAGGATGGGGGGATAAGGTAGTGGAAATAGCATTTGGAGTGCACCTTGTAGTGGGAAGAAATGTGCAAGAAGTAGACTTAGCGGAGATGAGAATAGGCCGGAAGGGGAGGAAGGGGAAGAGAGAAAAGAGTCACAGTGGGACAAAGTATTTACCGTAAAAACCCTCATAATCCACTATCTCCGTGGCAGGAGTTAATCACCATTGCAGGGCTAAGTGAGCATTGCCAAGAAGGCGAGTGATATCTGATGATGGGGAAATGAGAAATACTGCACAGACTCTATCAAAATACAAATCTGTAAGTATCGTTGTCTTGATTCAAAATTCCGTGTTCGAGAGCATTCTGGAAGTATCGGGAGAGTATAATAGAAACTTCCATAGTGTCTATCGAAGGATGGGGTAGCTTCTGGAAGGAAAAACGTTAGAATAGCAAAAGTAAATAGAATACGAAGGAAGAAAAGACTAGTACCAGTAGTAGTAAGTAAGCAATATATAGAAGTAAACATAAGAGTAGCTAAGGAGTGAAAGAGAAAAAGTAAGGTGGCAAGGCAGAACCAATCCAAGAGAGTAATATGCGAGAAATCCAGGTCGAGAGAAGAAAACACCGGCGAGAACCTACTATGAAGAAGATTACGGAGCGAGAGCTGACGGAACATGACCTGAGGCCAATTATCTTCCCCGAGCGAACCTATAGCCAGAAGCAGAAGCTACGTGTACTATCATTTCTCAAGTACTATCGGATCGCCCTCGAGAGCTGGCCAGGGGAATACTGACGCCCAATACAAGTTGAAGCTTCTGTACTATTCCAAATTTCCCAACGAACAATTAGTGACTGGGTTAGAAGTAGAGAAAGCATAGAGGAGGGGGGAATTAGGTCTACTGTAAAGAGGAGGGAAGAATTGAGATGCTCAATTAGGATTCTTTGGCCGGAATTGGAATCTCAACTCTATAGAGACTTCTTGAAGCGTAGAGAAGCAGGGAGAACTGTCTGGCAAGGATGGTTCAGAGTTCAATCCCAGTTTCTATTCCGATCCCTTTATCCTAATATTAGTCCAACAATCTTTCTGTTCAGTCCAGAATGGTTTCAAGTGTTTCTAGCACACAATAGAATTAGTCTTCGTAGTATTACGAAAACAGCTCAAAAGTTGCCAGCTGATTACTATTCCCTGGTAATCAACCGGCTTCGCTTTAATTGAAGAAATTCACAACCCCGTTCTTCAAATTTCTGGGAAGTTAGTATCGAATATCCGGTGAGCAGATATGAGCTGTCGAACATCTGCAACCTGGATGAAACCCTAATTCCGTTCGAGTATTTGTCCGGCAAGACCTACGATACTCTCGGTAATAAAACGGTACGGGTAAAAGAATCGTGGTTCAGGTGGGACAAGCGGCAAGCAAGTCTCGTTCTTTGTATATTTGCCGATGGTATTAATCGAGTGCCTCCAATGATAATTTTTTGTGGGACTGTAACGATCCCTCTCTGGATAGTTAGTGCTTGGCGATGGGGAACGATACTTCTCTTTCTGTCTTCTTCTTCTTTTGTCTTACTATAGCTCTAGGCCTCTGCCTACATTACCGATAATACAAGATCCTTGTCTTCTACCGAGAACGCCTATCGTAAGCTTTCTCTAACTCTTCTTCATAAAGCGCCTTCCTTGGCGTAACGATAACGTTGCAATAAGGATAAAAATCATAAAGGTGTTTTATATTCGTTAAAGTAATAAGTAGGAAAAGTACTTAGAACAAAGCGTGAAGAACCTATCTTCCTCGGCCGCAGCGGCCTCCTTATATAGTGTTCTTCCCGCCTTTAGTCATGTGACTTAAAGTGGTCACATGTGCGAAACTAAATCATAACAAACTAATCATGTGACCAAAGTGATCACATGCTCAAAACCCATGACCTCATAGCGAGGTCATGTACAAAACTCATAAACCAATCATAACGCAATAAACAAGTCATATGACTGGACTGAGTCATATGCGCGAAACCCATGACCTCATAATGAGGTCATGTGCAAAACATAAATCATATGCGCAAGGCTTACCCGCAAGGCATACTCGCAAGGCATACTTGTTAGGCGCATGTCCCATGACTCATACTTGAGCCATGTGCGAAAGCATCACAAATCCCACACATAACAAATCATATAATCCTAATGGGTCATATGTGTGAAACAATAACGTACCTGTGACTCATAACTATGCATCACGTGAAAGCCCTTTTCTCACTAAGCCACATTCGTGACAGGGACAGGTCAGCGATTGGGGGCAGAGAAGTGCAAGCATCATCCGGATGTTCTGGTTGAGTATAATCCTACAGGCTACATGAACGATAGTTTATTCGAAAACTATATTACAAAACATATTCTTCTGGTACTCGGTCGCCTTCCCACTCTCTTCGCCCTCAATCTCATGGGTTCTCATAAGACCCCCCCTCCATTCTTGAACTCCTTCGCAAGAACGACATTACTCCCTCTCTAATTCCTGGCGGTTGCACTGGCCTACTCCAACCTTTGGATGTGTCAGTAAATAAGCCTTTGAAAGAGATGGTTCGGCATCTCACTGATTGGAAGATCTTTGAGTCAGAATCATTGGAGGCATTCAAGAAGTGGAATGTTGGAGACCGGCGGATAATGACTACCTTCTGTATTGGTGAAGCTTATTATAAGTTTCATCAGGAGAAAGCAGAGATTATCCACCGTGTCTTTCAGAAGGTTGGGCTTGCACTACCTATCAATGGTAGTGCAGACCATGAGCTCGACATTAAAGGCTTCACTGGACTTGAAATTGGGGATTGGAGGAAGGATATTAATACACACGATGATCAGTGTGAGATTAGTGAGGCGGATGATAATAATATAGAATTTGTAAATAGTTTTGAATAACCTGTTTCATCTCTCTATCGTGTCGTTAAAGAATACTAATTTTGGAATCACGCCCGATCACCCGCCCTCTTGGCAATGCTCACTTAGGCCTGCTATGGAGATTAACCCCTGCTACGGAGATAGTGGATTATGAGGGTTTTTACGGTAGTTCAGAAAATGCATCTTAGTCATTTACCCTACTGCCTGATGCCTGCTTGCTAACGGAGCTTTATAGTTGGGGGTGTGGTCAATTCAATGGCGCTTGTCAGAGAACTCGGATGTTGGTCCGCTGAGGGGGATGGTGAAAGAAATAGTGGGAGCTGCTGGTGAGGAGAGCTTGGAGGCGAGGCGGGTGAGCTGCGGGAGCTAGGGAGAGAAGGAATGAAAGCCGGCTCTGAGTGGAATGAGGCGCGCGGACATTGCATTGCAGTACTGTAATTTTTTATTTTCAAACTTCTTTCTTCGCACTTTTCTCTCCTCCGTGCTTGTGGTGGTATGATCTAGAATGAGATAACTTGTGATATTCCTGCTTCTAAGAGTTCACCAAGATTTACCTTTCCCCATTTATAGTAGCGAGTGAGGGCTAGTTATTTTCCGCTGAAGAAGCACCGGTATTCCCTACCGTATGGTATTATAGTAGTCTGTGCCCACATTTCGCAGCTTTTTTAGCGCTCTCGATGACTTGAGTTAATCTCAGATACTTACAATGTCGGAGGTAGTATCATACGGTACTCGGGTAAGTTATGGCGGGGGCGTTGTTGCTGTGACCTGACGGGTATGTAATAGTAGAATTATTCCAAATCTCGGAACGTCGTAGGGGCCAAATAGCGACAAATACTCCCCCCTATCATCAGTAATCACTCACCCTCTCTTCTCCACCATCCCATCCCATTCCAACCCAGCCCCAAAACGCCACACACGACACACATACACACCCCTACCAAATACCAAACAAACCCGAAACCGAAAAAAAAGGAATTATGATAATATCAAAACTTGATACAAATCAAAAAAAAAAAAAAAAAAAAAAAATCACCATCACACGTAAGATTATTACCGGTATACGATCGCTAACTTACCATAAATCACCCTTAAACTACGCCGAGCTCATCGCAGCAAACTCAATACCCGGTACTGCACTCGTGCTTGTAAGTATCCTGCTTGTAAGTTCAGCTTATCCGGCCGAGACAAAGAAAGACGGTGTGTGCAAGCGGGCTCTACTCCAAAACGGGACCCGTTTGACCCTCTTCTTATTCTCCTACTATAAAGGATGATGAGGATGATGAGGATGATGAGGATGATGGGTCAAGCGAGTTGCTTGCTTGCCTTGCCTTGCCTTGCCTCCGGCTTATCATACTGGTTTCGGTCGGTCGGCTGGTCATCGCTTGACTTCGGCGAGACTTTGTTTGTTACGAGTCTTGACGGGGTTGTGTCTGGATGGGTCTGTACTCGAGTATAGCATTTGTAGAGGATGACCATTCCAGCGCCGTAGAGAAGAAGGTATAATATTATAATAATAGGAAGGAATGTTGGGCGCACGAATCGATCTGGGGAAACGGACAGGCGGGGGTTTGCACAATACGGGTAGTTTTGCCGGTTTATCGGGTGTTCACTTCGGTTGCTCCGCACCCCTTCCTTCCTTCCTTCCTTTGCTTGGTTCCCCTTGAGAGTTTCTCCCTTGGATTTATGGGGGTCGAGTTTAGTTCGTGAGATGAGATACGAGTACTGTACTGTAGATGGTTTAGGGGAAGTTACAATACCGGTACAATACAGTAGCCAGGTCTAAATCTGAATTGAATATATTTCCACATAGTTGTCATCCCATTTTCCCCCCCACCCTTCGGGGCCCACGAAAGATTCTCTCTATCTTTCTCGTACATAAATATTATTGAATCGTGTGAAAGCGCCTCCTCTTTCAGTTACGGTCTTCAGCACGATGAAAACCGGCGGGTGATGATGAACAGGGGTATTTGGCGGGAAAGAAAGTGAGTTCGTCAAAGTGGGGTAACAAAAAGATATCTGTTCCTGATCCCCTCTGAAGATCGCAGAAACATCCCCCCCTCTACTCGAATATCTAATTGGGCACTACTTCATTGACCGGGTTCGCCTCCAACGGGAGCGCAAAAGCCGTCGGCGGAGGAGAAGGGTTTATCAGGAGCAAAACACCATCCTCGTCCTTCCCCACCCACTCCACGCTTTCTAGATCCTCGACTACAAAGTCTGCGCCCGCCGCCTCAACCTCTTCACATGAGTGTGTGGTGAGCAGCGCGAGGACATCGCAGCCGGCTGCCTTCCCAGCACGGATCCCGGCGGGTGCGTCTTCTACCACGAGCACGTCTGCGAGAGAACCTGCGGCCATAGAAAGGCCCAGTTGCTCACGGGCCAGGAGATAACCTTCACAACCCTTTGTTCAGCGCACTGACGTTTCGGCACTCGGGAGAAAAAATAATTATGATACCGGTAATACTTGTATCATGGCATGGAGTGAGTAAGGGGGATGTACCTTCCGGATCTGGCTTTCCATTGGCGACTTTGTCGGCAGTCACAAAAACTTCTGGGCGTGGGAGCCCCATGAGCTAGAAATGTCCGAGCGTTTTGTTAGCCAACCATAATCAAATGTCTTTCATGATCGCGGAACAAAGTCACGCATCCTTGTTTTTTTTTGTTCCAGTGTGACCGTTTTGCTCGGCCCTTTGGGATTCACTCCGGGGAAATTCCGGGCAGTCATGATATGACTTCATGCCTCGAAGGGGATGCGAGAGTAAAAATAGGAACCATACCTTGATCCATGGTTCTGCTAGGGCTGAGGTTCCCGAGGTCACGATGGCCCACTTTGCTCCGGTCTTATTGAGCGACGATACTAATGTTCTGGCGCCTGAATTTCCCTCAAGTGCAACTCCCCGGGGAAGGAAGGTGCATTCGGTGTGTTATTAAGATTTGCCCCGTCAGGTCCATTGGATAACAAAGCATTTTCTTACTCACCGGGCAGTTCCTTCGCATCCGTTGCATGCTCTTTCGGGATCCGGCCTTCGACCTCACGGACATCTATGGTATCCAAATTAGTCGCAATTTCCCCTCCTTCGGCTCCCCTTGCGGTGCGGTTCTTACAGTCCATGTTTGCAAGCTCTGGTCTCCACTGCTTGACGATGTCGATCGTTCGTCGTCCGTGAGATGTGGCAAGGATCAAGGCTGGATCGATACCATAGTCTTTTCCAAACCTACACCGGAATGAGATTTCTTCTTTCATCTTGTCTGACTTTTCACTCGGAGGAGGAGGGGGGTGCTTACTGCTTCCAGTGTGCGATTACCGCAGGCGTAGAGTCAATAAGGGTACCTAGTGTTCGCATAAAAATTAGTTAGAAACTTTGCAACACATCCTAGGCACCTCCTCCTTTAGACTAGGCTTACCGTCCAAATCGAACAAGATAGCTGCATACTTCTTCGCAACAGGGACAACTTTCGAGAAGTGGTTGGTAGTCATATTAATGTCTTTGATGTTCTTGGCTTTTAGGTTAGACTGGAATGAAGCGTAAAATGGAATAAAGTTTGCCTGTGTATTCAGTAACGAAATCTTGAAGAGGGGGAAAAAGGAATTGGTTAAGGAATGCAAGGCTCGGGGACATTCATGATGGTGTTGGTATCCTTCATTCCTCTTCACTGTGCACTGCCTCATGCCTAAGAGAGCAATCTATGCTGGGTGGCTAACCGAATTGGGAAATGTAAATGCGTCGCCTCTTTTTCATGTCATTTACCCCTGGCGGAAGAGGAGAAAAAAGAAAAAGAAAAAAGCCGGGTAACTTTCCTGCCCTGTCCTGCCTGGACTTACCGGTATGACCATATGACGCCATTCCTCACCAAATCGCCAAGCCAGGAATCTCCACACAAGCCCGCACCTCTCCTTATCATAGCTTATCGTATCTTCATCCCTATTCGATATCGCCCCAGAAAATATGGAAGAAGAGAATAAAGAAGTTATTCATGAAGCTTGCAGACAAGGCAGATGTATGTACATCTCTTCCCTCGCACCCCACTCCTCACTCCAATCCACTGACAGAGGTAAGAAAGAAAATCAAAATCAAAAGGAGAAAAGTTATCTTGGCCTTTTGTCAATTCCGGGCTAACATGAGGGATTGGATAAACAAGTATCTCAGGTGGAATATTTGCTGGAGGAAAACCCAAAATTAGCATACCGTCGCGATTCAGATGATCGTTTGCCTATACACTGGGCCTGCTCATACAATCACCTCCCGATCGTGCAGCTCCTTACACAACAGAAGGGGTTCGACGTAGATGCTCAGGATGGGTCCGGGTGGTCACCGCTCATGATTGCAGTGAGTGTTGAAGATGGGGACCCGATGGTGGACTTGTTATTGTCAAGGGAGGCGGATGTTAATCTTAAAAGTATGTCACTTTGGGCTTAATCCGTGATGATCTCACTTAAGCTAACTCCTCGCTTCAACTCGGTATCGCAGCTAACGGCGGACAAGTACTCAATCCCTCCCCCCTTCTCTCCCCCGGTTTGGCCTAATTCGGCAACTGGTCGACTGACAACATACCCATATTATAGACACCCCTCCACTTCTGCGCCTCCAAATCCCGCCTCTCGGCAGCCCGCAAGCTCCTCTCCCCGCCGCACAAAGCAAACACGCGCACAGCCGATACCCGCGGGCAACAGCCCATCCACCGTGCTGCCGCCACCGGCTCCCTCCCCATGGTGAAGCTCCTGCTGGAAAACCGCTCATCGGTAAACCCAAAGGATAAGAGTGGGATGACCCCACTACACCATGCGATTGCGGAGGGCAACGGTGATGTCGCGCTGGAGTTGTTGAGGGTGGGTGCAGACTCGGGTGCTAGGGACTCGGAGGATAGGCTTGCCCTAGACCTCGCGCCGGATGCCACGGTGCGGAAGTGGATTTTGAGAATGGCGGAGGAGGAGGGAATTGATGTTGTTCTTTCGTGATGACCATCGAGCTATTGATACCGGGCTGGCTAATAAATTTGTTTTTTTGCTGGGTGTGTTCGGGTGATCAACCTGGAGGTAGGTGTACCCGAATTGGTACGGTGAGGGTTTATCGTAAATTGATGCACCGGGCACTTGCGGTGGCCTCGCAGTGGCCCCACAGTGCTTTTGCCTATACATGTGATATACGATAGAACTCCCGGAGCGCCAGAATTACCCGAGAAGATCCACTTTTAGCATTTCCATCGCTCTCCATTGTCGCTTATCTCTACAATCTCTATTTCGCCCTCTAAAGCGCCCCGCCTCATGAAGCAAACAACTGCAGAAGTCATATGTTAGATGAGAAACTCTAGATACACGAGATCCCGGGTTTACCCTGGTTTTTCGGGAGTTCTTGAACCTCCACTACATTCACCCCGGCAATGCTCCCAATCCAAGCTCAACGCGCCTCTACCACGCACATCCAACGTCCACCAAAGGTTCAAAAAGCCGAAGCAATTTCAGCCAGAGATTCACCAACATGAAACGAATGGCTTGAATAATGGCAAATACATTCCATTCCCTATCTAGCTAGCGTACACAAACTCTCTTAATCCAGGGCTGCGTATCCAATGCCAAACTCCCAACATACAGAAACTACCTCTTTATATCATATGATACCTGCCTACATCCTAGGTCTATCTGAAAGTATCACTACTGGACTGTAGCGCTCACAGCTGGATTTTTTCCGGGGGTTTGAGATATGCTCTTGATAAGTATCATACTAGAAAACGGGGATCATGTACTATCACTCGTTTAGCGGGGTTTCGGTGAGTGGTTGGGTTGGAGACCCGCGATGTTCGACTTGACTATCGGGCAAAGCTTGCCATGGGCCAGAGTAAAATTATTTACGATAATATAATGACTTAAATGTTTCTGTTGACCCAGACCATAAGAGAAAGACTTCAAATTATAAGCTTTAATAAGAATGGCACTATTGAATTTTATAGCTAGTTTAATTTCTGTAACTGCATTTCTCCTGGGTACTGGTGCAAAAATACATAGTAATTACAGAATTTATCGCAGATGAAGTAGCCATACATTGAGAGCTTTTGGTGGGAGGTGAGGATAGTGGTATGTGCAAACAATAGAAGTCGCTTGGCTCTACTGGTGCAGGATTTGGATAATTGTTCTTAGCTGGTATTGACAAAAGAGAAGGACCATGGCTGCACACTTTCTTATCAGGTATTTTGATGATGATGATGATGATATTCAGTCCTAAGTATGATAGTAATAAAATAATAATAAGTTCACAATTTAAGAGGAAACTGATGATCAAGCAAACAAAATTCATTTCAAATTTTGCCAATACAGCTAGGATACCCTCTTTTGATGCTTTGCCACAAACCATTACTCTTCGGCTATGTACTGGTATCATAATATTCACCGTTGTTGTTTTCACCTTAGGGCACAAATTTACAAACCAATAAAAGCCTACGGGCCTCATGGGCCACCACTAAGCCCATGGCAAGCGTTGTTATCGGGCACAATCCCCCCCCCCCGACTGCTACGGCCGGTAATCCCGGTTGGGTGGTTGTAAGTAATAACGAAGTTCCAAAAAACCTCCTTCAAACAACATAGAAAATAGAAAGCGTTGAAATGGGCAGACTACTGGTTACTATAGTCACTAATTAGAATGCAGCCCGCAGTTCCAGGGGCGGCATGATATAAAGAGCGATATTCTGTGGATCGATTCCAACCAATTTGCTCACCCACTTATCATAGCTCGCTGGCGCCATCTACTAGGTACCTTATTTTGAATAGCCGTATACGGGCCTGGCGAAAATTTCCAACCATTTACTGGAGGCTGTTCTTTTATCTCTTGAACATTTCTCCCCGGCTGGCAGCCCTCGATCACATATGATACTTTCTAGTTGCTCAATAAATATCCTTCAGCAGATAATTATCCCCTATCAGGTTCTAGATCACCGTTGGTTGGAAGCACCGTTCCGGTATCCGCAAGAGGCAAATAGTACCCTAGCATCCAGTGGTACAGGACTGGCAATTGGTGTTATCATAATGGTGTAGCGGTATGATAAGTCGAATTCTACTTTCTCTGCCTATCACCCTTGTCGCTTGTACTGTACACTACTTGCAGCTTCCGCCTTCCTCCTGTCAATCTTTCCAAACAATGAACATTCCTCCTCCCTTTCTCTATTCAGATTGCGATTGGAATTTCCAAACGACCCCCCAAGTTTGAACAATTCTCTTGGGTATCGCGTTTAACCTCCCCCTCCCCTTCTTTCTCACCGGATTTACAGGTTGGTTCCTATCTTTTTCCCTCGCCTCGGGTGGTACAATCCTGGCTGGCCTCAATTAGCTGTAGTCGGCCCGGCCTGCTGGAGGCACTGAGCTTGACTGTGACTGCTGTCAGGCACGTGATTTTGGGTATGTGATGGAAATTTCTAGAGAATGCGCTTATGAGTGCGTGGTATTGCTGCCGGAAATCCTCTTGGTATCGGCAGGCTGGATCTGCATGATTGGCAGTATTAATAGGGCAGTAGTATCTGTATTCTGCAGTCTGGTACGTCGCATAGTGCTGCGATGTAGGGGCAATACACCTAGCAGACTTGGTGGGCATATAAGCGATATAGGCAATTCCTAGAGTTTTGTGGGTGGAAGTCTGAATAGGTATTCTATCACTAGTGATATGGCAATGATATAGAGCCTGGTTGATATATCGAATAAAACAGTTGTGATTCCAGGAGAACTTCCTGAATCCCATTAATCCCAAAGAAAATAATATATTCTCTTTCCCCTCTCCGAGGATACTGAGAACCCACTGTTACAATGTAAAGTACCTACCTTAAGAGAATATTATAACTACGAACCAAACCACTTGCAATACCATCCAAGCCTTCCAATGGTTTGGCGCTTTGTCAGGTTTGGCCAAGTCCATGAGGTGTCGAACACCAGCCACCCAGACGAGTTTCTTCTCAATTACGCACGACAGCATTATAATCGTAAATTTACTTGCATGATACTGAGAAAGCGATTTCTGGTCCAGAAAAAGACAGGGAAACAAAAAGGGGAGAATCGATTCACGTATTGTTTGTATGGATAGGTTCTTGCTCATGGAGGAAAAGGTTGCTCACTCGGTGTACTTCATTTTCATACTCGCACTTATTCGGTCTCGTTCGTATTTTGCGGCGTTAGATAAGTTAGATGTGGTTTTGATTCAGCTATCGACAAAGATGAGAATGGTGGAAAAAAAAAAAAACCCCCCCAAGAGCACTTCGAAAATCCACAGACCAGATTTTGAGCCTCACAAGAAAGTTCTGGGGATGCCGAGTGTAACTGACGCCGCCCGAACCGGCATCCCCATACAACGGAATACCGCAGCTCTCTTTGGCGGTAATACGATCCTTCGGTACACCCGATAGCTCCACCCTCCGTAGCAAATCCGCGCGTGTCCAAGCAATCGTTAAACCGATAAACTCCGAGAGCCGCTCCTTCCCAATTTCCCACCTTTTCTCACCCCCCCCTGTCCACACTGCCCACAATCTCCCCGACCCACACCGGCTACATTGCTCCAGAAATGAAATAAAAAATGGTGGCAAACCCATTTTATTTTCATTATCTGTCTAGACCACTTAATACATTATTCTCTGGCATCCAGCTCCAAATACCCATA